AGGGGTTAGCTCATTTCTCCTTCAGCCACTGCATCCTATGGTGCTTCATTCAAATTTAAAAGACACCCCTTCCTTAGGTGGATAGTATATATCTTAGCAGGTGGAGGTAGGGGCTGGAGTTCAAAGCCTACCCACCTCCTCTGCCAGGCACCATTATTCAATCAACAAACTGCACAGGTGTAGGTGCCTGGGCAGAAAGGGTATGCAGAGCCTGACAATGATGGCAGAGGGCATTAAGAAAGATGAGGGCAATGCTGATGTGGAGAATAACGGAAAACGGGCAGTATCGGGTGGTTCTGCCTTAAGATTTTCTAAATAGAAGAGACTGATTAAGTATGGTATCTGCCTTGTAAGTCAAGTTAAAGCCACTTACCACTCTGGTGACTTCCTTTCCCTCTCAGGGAATCTCTTCTAAGAGCTGAGACGAGGAGCAGATGTTATATTCACACAAAGATGAATATACCATATTACTATTCCTAAGGTGATCTACATTTAAATAGAGGCCCAAAACATTTAAACATTAAGTAATCAGTCAGTTTTGTCTTTCCACTGCTCTATCCCAAACGCCTAGAACAATGCCTGACACACAGTAGGCCCCTTAGTATGTTGACTAAATCTCTAATCCTAGACTTTCAGTCACTGAGCAACAGGAAATTACACCAAGGTTTCCTGCCTTCAAGATTCCACAGATCAAATTAGAAAGTCACCAAAAATGAGTTTTCTCCTAAGCACTTCATAGGCCAGAGGTCTCAGCTCTCTTATAAAATACCATCACCACAAATACTCTAATACCAATTATTTAAAACTTCCACTGCACATCATGAACTATTTGTCAACCGACAATGAAATGTCTGTAAGCCAAATATTTTATGTAAGGATGCAGCCTCCCACACTACAGTTCAGTACTTAGTAGACTAAGTACAAATGAAAAAAAACTTGGTGGCACAGTTGTATTTAAACATTATGTTATACTTTTGTAATTTTATATCTGGGTTGCCATAATAGTAGTATATTATAATATTTGAACGTATCATCTTCCTCCAAAGATCTCAAAGCACCTTTGGTAAGTAACCAATAGTCCTCCCCACACCTCCGAAGTAGGTATGCTGTGAGCATTATATCCATCATCCCAGGATCGCACGTGAGTCAGTGGCAGGGCTGCATGACTCACTCATGACACTTCAGTTCACAGCTTAAACCATCAGGGAGTACTGCCTACAAATTCATTCACTCATTCATTCCTTCTTTCAAAACATTCATTTGATGCAGTTTGCTAGGCACTTAGGCTCAAGCCCCTATTTCCTTACTGAACTTGGATCAGATGAACTTTATAATCTGTTAAAATTTTTTTCTCATAATACTTAAAATTCAGAGCAGAAATTTTTCTTCCCATGGTGATTAATCCTAATCTTTCATAGTGGCATATCTACCAGTGAGTCACATGTATATTAAGGAAATGACTGAAACACAAACAATTTTAAAGATATACTTCTCTCTCATGTTGTGGATGTTAATCATGTGTCTATACATAAGGCTTTTTTTTTTTTTTAGTGTTTGCCTGGTACAGCTAAATACTTGCGTTTTCTGTGTCTAATTAGAAGTTTCCGCTGTGTATTATAGTTGAGTTGGTACAAGATGTTCAAGACCATGAAAAGATGAATGTAATGGCTTCCTCGTGTTATGGTATGAATTTTTTTTTCCACTTCATTAGTCCTTTTAAGTAATCACACTGTTTGTACCCTGACTTTCTTTACTGAAGTCACAATTATTTCTCTTGCCAAACCATGCCCCCAGACTTGAATGTATAAATTAAATGTCATGCACGCATATGCAAGCAGTGTGCACTGCCTGTTAAACAAAGTAATATGAACAAATTAAAGGCACATTTTAACGACCTTTGAGTTCGGTGTGTTATAGTGGTTTTCTGTTACCTACTGGGCACAGTATAAGACATTGATTCACAGAGGTCATTTTCAGTGTGCTGCTCGCAAACCGGTTTGTTCATCCAATCCAGCCCCCTAACTGCGCCACGTTGCATTTCGTACGGTTTTCCTCTCGGGCTCTCCACCCCGTGGAAGGGGCTGATTCACCCCCAGCTCCCTCTGCCGAAGCCGGAGCCGGAGCCGGCGCGGCCAAGGCCACCGGGCAGAGCGGGCGTGCGGCCGAGTCCGGGCTGCGTGACAGGCTGCACTTCCCAGCCCCGACGCTGTGGTAACTGACTGATCTCATCGTCTCTCGTCACGACACGCGCTGCCTGGGCCGCACGCGGCATAGCGTGAGAGGCGCCGGGGCCGCGGGCGCGCCCATCCCGGAGCCTTCGTGCGGACGCGCCCCGCTGCCCTCCGAGGCTCGCCGCGCAGAAAGCCCAGTCTGCTTATCACCACACCACCGGGTGTTCTCAGGCTGCAGAAAGACGGCCCCCCGGACGTCAGCAAATAACCTGACCTCCCAGGCAGTGGTCTTCGCTCTTTTCGGCCTCGGCGGACCCTGCCCCTCGCCGCCCCCTGACGCACAGCTGCCACCCCCGCATCGGAGTTCTGGGGAAGGCGCCGAGTGGCCGGGGTCAGTCGCCGGGCAACGCCATTCGCCTTCCGTGCGCCCCTGAGGTCGGTGCGCGCCCGGTTCCCGGCAGGCGGGGC